TGATCACGGGGGTTGGGTGGGGCTGGTGGTGAGGAAAATTTCAAAAAAAAAAAAATCACAAGGTACAGTTTTTTAATCAAGTCACTGTTTTTTACAGAAGAAAAAAAAGGGGGGGGAAGAAAAACTGACCTTGACCTCTGGAACCGATTTATGGACTTCCTTGAGTAGAGTATTGACCGAGAATCTGGATCCAATGTGATGGTCCAAGTCGACGAAGGTGAGATTAATCTTGGGTGCGAGTTTCCTGCTCAAGAGGTTGACCCCATCCTCATCAGGGAAGGCGAGTTGCTGGTTGTTATTATGACGGGTCTTGCCGGGAAGAAGGGCGGCCATGGGCTGGATGACAGGGTGAGGAAGCGAGGAGGAACCGATCAAGGGTTGCAGAGTCCTCCGGCCGGGTTCTTGGTGGTGGCCCCGACCGGTTCCCAAGGACGGGTCGTTGCCGTAGTGATCGGCCGTTCGAGGCCGACGGAGATGGTTGAACAGGCCGAGGTTCTTCTTCGCCGGCTTGCGTCTCTTGTGATCAGAGCCCATCAGATCCATGGCGTGCAGGTCAGAATGGCTCGTCTGCTGGTAGCCCGAAGACTCGGTTGGAGCAGCTGCGGATTGATCCTTCTGCACCGAGAACATCGGCCCTCCTGGAGGAGTGGCTGGAAAGACCACGTCGGGAATCAGTTCTAGGGTGTTTCGGAACCGAATCTCCCGCTTCTTTTTCGTCTTTGGTGACCCACCCGCCGCCGCCGCCGCCGCCGCCTCCTCCTCATTTGACATGGTCATAGGGGCATGTTGTACTCGCCCGGCTTCCGGCTCGCGGGTAACCTCAGATTGTTGTATGGTGTTCATCGCTGGCTCTGCGGAGGGGTTCCCGAGTATCTTGCTGTTGTTTTCAGCAGATGCTTCTGGGAGTATAGATGGCTGTGGATTGGAGGTGGGATTGGGGATGGATTCTAGGAGCGGATTATAACCAATGAGGTTATGGAGGGAATGTGCTCTGGTCGGGGTGACGATACACTGGGATCCGGTGAGCAGGGATTTCCCGGATGTGACGGTTTCGTGGAGCGAGCGCGAGGGAGTCCGGACCAGGTTGGCAACCATACCTAAGGTTGGCCGGCCTGTCGAGAATGAACGTGAGCGAGGCCGCTGAGGCTTCACTACAGGCTTCGCGGGGGTTTGTTGATCATTCACACTGCTCCGACGGCGGACGGCTGGAGCAGTTACTAAAGCACTGCTCGGTGCCGCACCCGTACCTGTAAGAATCAAAGTATCAGGCACCGGCAAGGAGATGTCCGGTTTGGGTTTGGGATACGACAGGCTTCGTTGCCTGTGATTTTTTTAAACAAAGAAGAGTCAGTCAAAATAACATTCAAGAGACCCAATAGACGCTAATTGAGAACTTCCCTGGAAAAGAAAGAAGTTTGGGAATAGCGAGTAAGAAGGTCTTACAGGCATGAGCCAGCGTTGAATCCATGCAGCTTTTCTGCTCGAGTTTTGCTGTTTAGGCTGAGTATTCTGTGATTCGAAGAGGCTCAGGGAAGGGATAACAGAGGGTCCCGCAAAGCCTGGTTTGTTTGGAAGGGGGGCGAATTTGATGCGACCGTTTGATCTGTCTGTGATTGGAGCTGTGGCAGTTATAGAGGAGGGGACATGAGCTGAGAACTGACGCGCTAAGGAAAGGTGATCGTGATCACGGAAAAAAGGTAACAGGGAAGGATAACGAACCCATTCCAGAATAAATTGCTAGACTATCAGAGGCATTCTGTGATGGTATGGGGGAGGCAGAAAGCAGAGGATGACGACGAAGCTGAGGATTGGGGTTGAAGTTGTTGAGATCAGAGGATAGGGATTCGGAGAGGGGCTGTCTGATTGAGGAGAGAGAGTGATCAAAGGGCTCGGGGGTGGTGCTAAGATTATAGCTGAGGCTCTGATAGGCCAGCCGGGTGGGTGGTAGTCGAGGGATCGGATTCGAGCTCGTTTCGACCAAGGAGAGGTTGCGGGGAGGGAGAGATGATTGGGGGCTCGGGCGGGATGAGGACCGGACAGACCTCTCGACCGAGGGGGTGGTTATAAGGTTGGAGGTCGAGGCACTAAAGGCCTGTTGATACCGAGGAGGGTGTTGTTGTTGAGTATTATGGGAGTAAGAGCGAGGAGGGGAGTGCAAGGAGGGGGTATGAGGGGCGAGCATCCGGCTGGGATTACGGGCGCGGAGGCTGATTGTTTCTGGTGGGGGACAGGGTGGATGGGAGATGGAAGCGCTGGAGCGGTTCCGGAGGCTCATCTTCCTAAGATCGAGCGAGGTGAGTCCGGCGGTCTTGACTTCAGCCCGGCCGTTGACGGCTGGGTTGGTCTTGATCGGATTGTTTCCGCCGATGGCCACGCCGTAGAGAGAGACCGGGGCGAGGAAGGGATCGGGACGATCGGCTGGTGAGATTGAAGAGGTGGGGGCGGGATCGGGGATGCCGATGAGTTCCCCTGGACGCAGCCTTCGCGGCGGGAGTGGGAAGTTGACGGTGGCGGGGATGGGGAGTGGCGAGTCACTGGAGGTGGAAGGGGAGGGGAGTGGATTGAGTGAGGGACGGGAGCGAGTCCTCCTGGGTGTTCCGGCTGGTTCCTTGAGTGAGAGGAAGAGTGGGTCGAGCTCTGAGGCTGCAGACTCGGACCAGGTGGATGACCTGGCACTCATCATGAGGGAGATAGCGGGGGTTGGTATTTTTTGTGTTTGAAGAGAACCAATTATTATTAGAAGAGAACAAAATGAAAAAAAGAATGAGAGAAAGCTTTTTGTTTTTGTCAAGGGAAGGTCAAGTGTTGGTGTTAGTTGGGGACAGATATCAAAACAAAAAAAGGAGTGTTTGGTTTTTTTGAGAGGGTGAGGTTGAGGAGTTCAGTGAGTCTGCAGGCTGGGCCTGAATATGTTGTTTATAAGGATGCCGGGCGAGAAGTGATATGAATCGATTGAAGGGGATCAAAGAGGACCGTTGCAAACGTCCCGAGTGGGCAGCCAGTCCTACGATCACCGACCCAGGTTGGAAGATGGTCAGATGTTGATGTATGTACGTTGTTGTTGAGGTTGTTGTTGAGGTTGTAGGCTTGAAAGGGGGAGATTATATGGCAATTCTAATAAGTAAGGATAAGCTGAGCAGGGATTAAGATTTTCAAGAAAGAGAAAGAGAAACAAGACAACAAGAAGGGGGGCGATGGGAGGAGGTGGCGAATAGGTTTGTAGACTGCAGAAAAATACAACAACCGGGTGGATTCTTCTGTGGGATACAGTTCAGCTCAGAATGGCGCAACAGATGATTGAAAGCAATGAGAAAGACCAGATCGTAGTGTGGTAATGTGGCAGATGTGGCTTGATAGGATAAGGAGGAGGCTTTTGGTTTTTGGGTATGATGTATGAGGATGTATGTATGCTTCGATTGAGAATTTGAGATCTTGAAGCGGAGGGTTGAAGCCTGAAGGTTGGCCGAGTTGGAAGGATGAGGAAGGAGAATAGGATGGTTTATGAGCCTCAAGGCCAGCCAGCCAAGCAGTTGAGGATGCTTGCAGATGTCTTGACCATCCCCTGCTTTCTATTAAATGTACGCCCGCTCAGGATGTCTGTAGAACACTGGATGACTGGTTTAATATATCGGAGAGTGAAGAAGACTTGAGCTCGAGCCTGATTAGTGATAAGCAAGCGTTTTGAATACCGGAGAAGTGAGGAGGACTATAGGAAGAAGAAGTGCCTCATGAAGGGATAGTAGAAGAAGGCATGGCTAATTGAGAATGTCAAGATAAGAGAGCTAAAAATCGAGGAGAATGGGCCATCATCGAGACCGGCGATAGCCAGCCAGCAGTTCTACATAATTTCGCTAGTTCTCCCCGAATTGTATCCGCAATCTCACTAATCGGTAGTCAAGGCGAGAGTGGGTACACCAGGCCAGAGCTCAAGGATGTCGCCTTGGACGACGCTGGCCATCAACCGAGCTTGCCTATTCTAATATGGTCAGGAAGATCGCCGGGGAACATTACTCCAGGAGGGGTGTAGCTCTGCCTCATCAGATTCAGGGCAGTTGTTCTTGAACCTCTTAATTTCTTCTCAAGTTGACGATTTTATAGAGTTGGATACAAAAGAACTAGGTATGTAACCAAGCAGCGCCATTCCAACCCCTTTGTCCTTAATCCTACATATCCCACATCACTTGACCATCCCAACAAATCCATCCAAGACGATCGGCTCCATGACCTCAACAGATACAGCATACATAAATTATAAACTGATACATCCATCGGAGCCTGTCTCGGAGGCTATAACGTTTTGATCTGGAACTTACAATGCCTTCGACGGTCTAGTGGAACAACTGTAGTGTGGATGCCGACCCGAGTCGACTGCAGGCCGCGAAGCCGCCTACCAGCTAAATGTATGAGTGTCAAGAAAACACCTGCGACGATTCAGCCGAACAAAGGTCTGGATATGATCATCATCATCTTGACGATAGGGTATTTGTTGGGAAAGGGAGCTTCCATACATATCGGCGAGGAACGGACTGGTGAGGCTAAGATGCCCGTCGCGCAAGAGAGACCGCGATTCACTCATCTTGCTCTTTTTATCCACCATGCCCAAGATAAGTGTAGCTGGCCAGCGACGAGAGTCCGGAGGGAGTTCTGTCCATGAATCCGCGCAAGCCGACAACCACGCGCCTTCGACTCGACTTCAACACAGTTCAACTTCAACTTCATATCTCGTCAATCGCCGTCTCCTCCCGGCGGAATCGGCATTGCTACTCATGGAATTTCCTCGCACCACCAGCGTGTTTTTTTGGGAGGGGGGACCCGGCTTTACCCCGGAGCCCCTGTGAAATGTTAAGCCAGAAGGGCAAGGAAAGCAGAGGATCAAAATATGTAGTCGGGAATTTGAAAGCAACCATCAACTACAAGAGAGCTGCATCAAGCCTATGTGCTTCACGCCAGCTAGACAGTGGATGACTTCCCGTCAACATCTGCGGGGCTCCCTATTTCGATTTAGAGCCAAAAAAGCTAGATTTCCCTGCAAAAATCTAGACTTTTTGGGTCTAAATCGGAAACTGCGAGGCTCCCAGATCCGACGGGAAGTCCTCCAGTCTTAATTCGATGTAGTATGTTTTTTTTTTTGGGGGGTGGGGGGGTGCCTGCCCCACTCAAAGATGGCCGGAGGAATAGCCCGGCTTTAGCCGCAGGGAAGAAGTCAGAGCTCCATATATATTATTTATGTACGGCATAATCCTGCACTTTGGAGGCTCCCTGCAGGACACAACTGTTCTCCCTTCAAGAAAGGATGGCCCTTTTTGAGCTAGATTTTTAGCCTAAAAATGGAGAATCTCAAGTACTTCATACAACAGCCCTCATCTGTCACACATTCTCAATTTCTGGGTGTAGCGGAAACACACATATAACACACTTTTTCTTTAACAAAAGAAGGGCCCTAGTGTTTGGAGGACGATGGGTTTTGAAGAACAGTCCTTCAATCAAGAGATCACCAGGAAGGCCTGCTTCAATGCTATGATCATATATTTGACATCTATTGAAATGATGGGATTGTCTTCATATTCATTGGCCCTGCAGTGTGAGCATTAAGGTGGGTAGTACATGTTCTATGCTTACATCAAGACATGCTTCTCATCAAGATGATTCCCCAGTAAAAAAAACAAAAACAAAAAAACAGTTTCCGGAAATCCAAATCATGCTGTGATTACAACACATCCATGCTTATACTATGGTGTTGATAAATGTGGAAAGGTAAGATGGAAATATCTTGTGGATTACTCAAGAAAAGATTAGACAGGTTTCAAATCTCAGATAATTAGGGACCCTCCAGATTAAAACAGAGGAAGGTCTGATGAGTGAGTTCATTGGGCAAAGCCAGTGTCAATGACTCAATATAAAGGGCATGTACCATATGGCATGAAAATTCAATCTTCCAGAATTTTCCAGATTTTATTTTCCTCAACTGTTCATATCATCAGAAGTTACAATCACCAAAGGCAGGGGTTTGGCCAAAAAGTGAAACAACAGATCTTTTTGGGTAGAGGGCAGAAAAAAATGACTGTTTTTCAAACTCCAATCCCACAGCACATGAGGCCCCAAAGTACATACAAAGGATCAAGATGTGTTTAATATGAAATCAATGAGTAATAATATTGAATGAAACAAATTCTATCAAGGAGTCAAATCCTAAAGACTAGATTGATTAATTATAACCTAACTTATCACAAGTCCCTTGCCTGCAGTCGGTTTTTCTGCGCGCGAAGCGCGCCCTCCTGCAGGGAGGGACTTGCGTACAAAGTCAAAATTTGGGCTGGCACAGGAAATAAAAATGGCTGGAGTGAAATTTGTTAAGGCCCTGGCTCCTTATCCTAATCCTCAACAAGCCTGGCTCAGAGCCAGATTGTACTTTTGGGTCCCAGCTTTCATTTGAAGGTGGTCTCATCCCTTCATTTGCCCTGGTTCCCCTTCTACATTTTTTTGAAAAATGATTTTTCCTCAAAAACCCAAAACAACAATTAACCAGATCCACAAGGAAATCAAACTTAGAGTCCCAAATGCTCATTGAGATGATTGACAAAACTGTCTATTCATAATTTCTTTCAAGTAAGTGGTTTTTTTAGAAAAATTATTATGTGGTATTAGGCTTTCCTGTCCCAGCCAAATTTTTGCCTTGACTCATAAGCCTCTCCTACGGAGAGCGTCCCACAGGGACACCCCGGGAGAGGCTTTGTTAAGCTAAAATTATAACATAAATATCAACCATGGATTCATCAAGCACAATCAACTTGAGGTAACTTTTCCTTGTCAATTGTTGACATCCAACCTGATAAAGTGGGAGTAACTCCTCCAAGTCAGTCAGTTTATGTTATAAAACCTGTTTCTCCTGGATGAAGCTCATCCAGAAGATCCAGGATGAACATCTGGGAACAGGCTGTGGAGCCCAGACTGGGATGAATAAGAAGTTGATCATATATCTAGTTTCAGAAGAGATAATTTGCTGTTGCATGGGCTCAATGATGCACAAAGAAACAATCACCTTTTTTACTAGTAATATTTCAAACTGAATAGACTACAAATAAGTATTTATAAATTTATTATGAAAAAATGAACAAAAAGGATACTGAAACAGGATAGTTTGATAAATTCAACCATTGAGAAAAATCCTCAAAGACTTGATTTCTATGGGTAAGTAAATACTATTACTAATTGGGGTTCAAAGAATACTTCCCTTATATGTTAACTTGATACCATCATACCAATTAGGTTCAACTACAATCAATGAGACACAAAATATAGACATAAGAAGATATGTCAGCTTGCTACTATTACAGAGTCAAGCTGAACTTCAATATTTACATAAATAGCTCAAGATGATAAGTAATAGATTTAATAATCAAATAATATTACAAAAAAGAATAACATAAAATGTCCTTCAAAGAAACTAGTGTCATATTGAAAGACATCATGACAGGAGACTGTGACATGAGATGAGCAGATTTCTCCTTTCAAAGCTCCTGGGAAATTATAAATCATCCCGGATTCTCAGAGGTGACCAGTGAGCTCAACTTCCCTTTCCCTTTCCAGCTTTTGTTACTGGTACCTACAGTATAAAAATAACCAGTAAACCAGGTAGCTAGAAATCATCAGTTTATGAGCTTAGTATATTTCCTCATCTTTTTCCAGTTTACATCCTTTTCCAATATCATTCCGCTACCAAATACTCCCTTCAAGCTTTGTGCTTGATTACCAGTGAGTTGTTGCCAAGGAATACCTTTATTGGTTATTCCTCTTCCCATCACTCCGATACGCGGACCAAATACCCTCGAGTATCTTGGAGACCCCGTAGTAGCCTTCACCTGTCTTCACATCAGACCCAGGCTTGTATCCCCAAGGGCATCGTAAAAAACCCCACAACTTGGGCCCCTTGGTTCCTCTCTACCTTTCCATTCTGCCAAACCAGCATCATCAGGCTATCAGCCGGTGTAGCTAGAAGGCCTATTGCCTTGGCATCACCAAGTCTGACAAGATAAAACAAGAAATACCTGTGAGAAACATATTAAAGAAAGAGAGGACATGCAACAGTGGGCCAGCTACGCTAACCGTAGCATCAGAGTAGCAGAAAAACACTACAAATCAGTGTAGCGTTAGCACATTTCTAATTTTCTGCGCTAAGTCTACAAGCACAGGGCGCAAAAATGCACTAACATTTAGTGTAGTGTTAGCACGATTCCGCGCATCTGCGCTAACGCTACGCGCACAGGGTGCAAAGAAGCGCCCGCTACTCTGCATTACAGCAGTTTTTAGGAGTTTTTTTCCGCTAAAAATGCTGTAGCGTAGCGGCGCCAGAGGCGCGCTAACACTACACCAAAAAATGGCTAGTTTTAGCGCCGCTACAAATTAGTGTAGCACAGCGGCAGTAGCATCGCGCTAACACTACACAAAAAACAGCAGCCGTTGGCGCCGCTACGCTAACGCTACATGAGCCCGTAGCGGACCACCGCTGGGACATGGAAATTTGTGCAGACACAACAGATTGGTGCAAGGGCCCTAAGACTATTGGTTGCACAACCCAAAATGTGTTGCACAAAGCAATCCAAAAATGTAACAGATTGGTATCAAAAATTCAAATAGGTGTCTAGTTTGGGGAGTACTGCATCAATTTATGTGGGTTGCAAATCCAGTTGACTTCATTTTTGTCTCTATCACAACTTTGTTGGTCTTGCTTACCACTGGAGCCTTTATCCATCCCCAACAGGTTTGTCTAGTGGGGATGGATACAGGCCATTTGAAAGCTTCTTGGGGTTTGGTATGGTGCCACTGCTGTGAACAGTATTTTTGGTCCATGGGCATTGGGTGGTACTCACAAATACCAAACTACTAGGGGGCAGGAGGAATGGAGTCACTGCCAACATCCATTAATAGTTGCAATTTAGTTTTAATCAAAACCAGAACTTTTTTGGGCTGAGTATTGGAGGACTTTTAACGATTAGTCTTGATTCTTCAATTTGAATTTTCCAAGGCTTGCTTGCTTGGTGAAGAGAACTCAATCTCAATCACTTTTCATGATCTCCATAACTTTGAAGTAAGTATTCTCAATGATCCTTAATTATTTGTAATTGTATACAGAATTTCACATTAACCAGACAAAAGGGCTACCTCATCACAATTATCAGATTTTCCATTCAATTCTTGAGTTTCTCTTTGATAAATCCTACTCCACAACAACATGACCAAACTCTGTAGTTACTATAGAATCATGTTATCCAAAGAGTTGGATGTATAGACCAAAATGAATCCAATATGTATGAACTGATCATGGTCTACCATGATTATGATAAACAAATGTGTACAACTTCAGAGAGATTTATTTATTTATTTGGCCGGAGTGTGGATGAGGGGGTGTTGAGGATGTGACAGCTGATTGACAGGAAGCTTTCAGCTGTCAGCCGGCGGACTGTCACAGGCCGAGTGCTGACCCAAGCCGATCACTCTGCACTCCTGTTGACCATCATCGCCCACCCCCAGCACCACCAAGCACCCTCAGCCACCCTCTTCTTGACCACACACAACACTCCCATCCCAAGCAAACACCATCATGGCTGGCATTGGCATCGCAAACTTACCCAACCAGAGGCATAAGATCATCTCCCAGGCTGGGGGCCACTTCACCCTCATGGTTGTCGGCGAATCGGGCCTAGGGAAGACCACTCTGATCAATACGCTCTTCTCGACTGAGTTGGCCATGCCCAAAGACTACCGTCGTCGATTTGCTAAACAACTTGACAAGACCACCGAAATAGGTGAGCAGTGACTTTCCATCCACTCTGATCGAGCAGAAAAAAAAAAGCAAGAGCTAGATCCCTAACCATACCATCCGAACAACTGAACAACGACAACAGATATCATCAAGGCCGAATTAGAAGAAAAGGCCTTCAGAGTCCAGTTGACCGTCATCGATACTCCTGGTTTCGGTGATTACGTTAACAATCGGGATAGTTGGGTTCCGATTATCGACTTCATAGATGATCAGCATGAGTCATTCATGCGTCAAGAACAACAGCCCCATCGTTCCGAAAAACTTGATATGAGAGTCCATGCCTGCCTCTATTTCATCAGGCCAACCGGTCACACGTAAGTAACTGGTTATTATATTCACAGTCGATACGTCATCACACCTTCATCTCAAAACCAGCCGGAATCTAAGCTGCTCTATTATCCCCATCTCAACAGCTTAAAGCCTCTCGATATTGAAACCATGAAGCGATTGGGAAGTCGAGTCAACTTGATCCCGGTTGTCGCCAAGGCTGACACCCTGACCCCACAAGATTTAGAACGATTCAAACAACGAGTTGAGCCCTTCTAGCCACTAGCAAATTTCAAATTTCAAAAAAAGGAAATGGTTTGGTTGTTCTCATTGTCTACCACTCAACAAATAGATTCGTGATGTGATCGTGTGCCAATCTATCCGCTGCTATCAACCTCCGGTCGAATTGGATGACGAAGCATCTGCTGAGCATGCTCGCACTCTCATGGTTTGTGGAATTTCATATACTCTTTTGTTCTATCTATGATACACAGTTTGCTTATACAACAATCGGATTTTGTACTAGGCCGCAATGCCGTTCTCCATCATTGGATCCACTCAAGATGTCACTACCGGTGATGGCAGAGTTGTGAAAGGCAGAGAGTACCTCTGGGGAGTTGCTGAAGGTATAAGCATGATTGATTTACATTTGGGGCTATAGTATACACGACCAACTGAGCCGATTTACCACCCTCAATCTCAACGGTCGTCTTGAATTTTGACAGTCGAAAATGAAGAGCACTGCGATTTCAAGAAACTCCGATCACTTTTGATCAGGACTCACATGTTGGACCTGATCAACACGACCGAAGAAACCCATTATGAGAATTATCGCCAACAGCAGATGGAGACCAGGAAGTTTGGTGAACCGAAGGTCAAGAAGTTGGATAACCCGAAATTCAAAGAAGAGGAAGAAACCTTACGGAAACGATTCACGGAGCAAGTCAAATTAGAAGAAAGTCGATTCAGGAGTTGGGAACAACATGTACGTCCTATCTTTCTCGGAAACCAAAAATACAAACCAGACCATTCTGTTGGATCGATGCAGTTAAAATCCATTGGGTCGGACTGATCATTTTCGTTTGTGATGTCTCTGTCGATGTAGCTGATTGCCGAAAGAGATCGACTGAATAAAGATCTTGAGCAAGCCCACTCGGCAATCAAGGTGCTGGAGAGTGAGTTAGATGCTATGCAGGGTGGATTCGGATCACAGGGTCGCGGAACTAGACGTTAAGAAACAAGAAACTAATGAGAAACGAACTCGAGCTTTGTCTGAGATCAAGGCCCTATCTATGGTTCTTTTTTTTTTCTTCTCTTCTTCCTCTCGAGCATAACTGCCTGTCTCTTTTTATTTTCGAGGATCACCCTCATGATTTAACTACTACAACTCGATTTTGACTGCTATTTATTCTGCTCTCCTTCACTTCGATCCTAGCTTCTCTATTCTTTCTTCTTGTAGTTGGATAATAATTCAAGTAGATCATGAGCATCCCCCTCATCATCATCATTTCAAAAATTACGAAAACAAGTCAAACCAAATCAAACACGGAAGTTGTTTCAAAAAAAAGCGAATTTTGTCTTCTTTCTATTCCTCTTTCTATCTTATTTATTTATTTTGATTGTGGCAAAGTTGAGGGTTATCCAGACTTACCTTTGCATCACTCTACTCTTTCTTTGGACTCTCCATCTTGTTAATCTATTTATTCTAATCTTACTTGGTTGCTTCGTTGGCAAGCATAACCCTGTTGATGGTTGGTGCAACATGACAGTATCTCATCGCTTGCATGCAAAAGCTGCCCGCATCAGGAAAGCAGGACTTGCCTAAGCTTCGCTGTCATGCAAAACATTTTGTTGATCCCTTGTCTGGAGGAAGCAATTAGTAGATTTCTTTCTCTTCTAACCTATGCCACCCCTCTAACTCCTTTGGGGACATTGTCTTCTACATGTGGAGGTGTTAATGGGGCTTCAAGTTGGTGATGACAGAATGCATGTGCGGGAAGAGATTTGGATTGGCACATCCCCCACTTTCCTTGTCGAGAGCATATATCTCAAAAGGTTTGATGGACATGAAGCTGAATTAAGATTACCACAACTAATGCATATCCAATAGATCCTTCAAAAAAAAAAAAAAGGAAAGGAAAGAGAGACCTAAAAGGTTTCTGCATCTTAAAACACATCTGTACAGACAACTGAATAAGTCAAAGGATGAATGGAGGATACCAAGATGTTAGAGTATAGAACGATTCAGGAAAGAAAAAAAAAAGGGGGGGAAGGGGGGAATGAAAATGAGAATGGATTGAGTCTCCGAACGCCAAGGTAATCATCATTATTAATATCTATCTCCATCTACCTGCGTCTTCTTTCTAATGTTTGGATCTTCTCAAGAGGAAATATCCAAGACCTAAAACTTATAAAAACAATCAACATTCTAGGGCTATGAATAAACCAGCCATAATTCCTCTGAAATCTATCTATCTAAGTGTGTGTAAGAGTATATATTATATATCGCCGCCGGTGCCCGTTTTTTCCCTAGATTTTCCCGCTGGAACATGAATCTTCTGAATGATTTGATCGATTATGTTTTCCTCACACAAGCTTCGGTCGGAATCTTGGCTGATATTATGACCTTCCGGCCCAGCTTCTCTATTTCGTCGGCCGTTTCACCATCCCAAAATCCTCATGAACATCCAAAAGAACTAAGCGTGTGAGACGTATCAAGAAATGTCAATATCATCATGCATCGGTCAGATGTTATTAGCAACGGTTAACCACACTTACTTTTCATCGCATTCCTAGCTCGAAGGCGTGGAAGCTCCACATCAGATGCAACGGAACTCTCCATCTGTTTTGGATGATGGTCGAATGGGAACTGATCAAGCATTCAAGAGTTTTTAGCAAATAATCAACTGATGCAGACTTGAATGTTTTGCCGGATGTCAAAAGAACTTGGCTTACCGGCAAGAGTTTTTGAAGGAATTCATAAGATACGAGAGTGACACCAAATTGAGGTGAACTTCGTAGAATTCGAGCTGGGCCCCCCTTAAACAAAGCGGATGGTCCCTCTTCTTTTACTGTTTCGGACAAAATCAGCATCATTTCTGTCGTTGGTCTTTGTACGCCAGAAAGAGGGCTTACATATCGTCTTAAAACAGTGCATCAAACCCTTGTAGTGAGTTTCGCCCTTCTTGGCTTCAGATTGCAATCGGGTTTTGACCACATCAGCTGGCGTGGTTAGATAAGCTGCAGGCATCCCCTGAATGAGAAAGTTTTGGGCATGGAAAATTGTTAGTCTCTTTGCATTGGTGAGATAGTTTTGGAGCCTAAGAAACAAACTGCAATAGCCGCTGCGCTTAGAGTTTCGACAAAGCTCAGTTTCTTTCCGTTGACTCCTTCACCAAAGGTATCCTTTTTCACTGCAATTGAATGAAACCAGATTTGTAAGTTAGATCAATGTTCGGACTACTCTTTTTTTGTACTTAGATATACTGAAAGAGAGTAGGAGGGGGTATCACGAACGATGTGAGTAAACGGTAAAATAAATCGCCGAAAACGGGATATCACGACAAAGGCACGCCGCGGCACCCTTATACAACCCAACCAACCCCAGTTGCCGGATGATATGCATCGCACCAATAGGTTCGCTACCCGCGACTCGCGCCATCTCACCTTGCATTTGAAGGCGGATCTTGACAATTTCCAGGGGATTGGTAACGGCCTGAATGTGGAGATGAACATCGTTGATTTAGGCCAATCGCAATCTGGCAATCACCTGGCAGAGTCTTTGGAAGAAGAAAAGTAGCTCTTACCACCTGACAACCACCCGCCGTCGCACCTGCAAACAATTCCCATCCAAGTCCAATTTCTCCAGTTACAGGGTCTTTAGCGTTGGCTCGGATCAGATCGTTGATGGTCAGCTTGATTGCCTTCTCTGGAGCGACACCCTAAAACCAACCCATCTTCGAAATGCTTCAGAATACGCAATTCCGATCATTAATGGAGGCAGGCTGGACTGACAATCAATTGCGGCGGTAGGCCTCGGTAAAACCCGGTGAACCCTTCGTTTTTGAATACTTTCTGCACGCAATCCATGCTGTTTTTGTAAAGAAGCTCCCCGACCACTTTACTACGCTGATTCTGCATACGGGTCTTCACGAGGTCGATTGGATAAACAGCCGTGGCTCCTACTTATACAGACAATGAGTTCAATAAGACGCCGGAAATGCAAAACCGGTAAGGGGACACGAAAGATGAGCAGAGATCTGTGGGTTTAGGCTAATATGAAGCTACCAATGTAGCTTACAGGCACCGGCAATTCCACCCAGCCCAAAGTTGTAAATTGATTTCCCTAATCCATGCCAGAAGTTGCCGTCACTCAAGTCATCCGTCATTTGATCTTCGAGTGTTGTTCGTCGTTCCCACATCGGATCCAAGAGCATCCCAAAGTCGGCGAGCCCAAGACGTGCGTTCAATTCACCCATGCCAGCAAAATGGAAGACAATATCGACTTCCATAGGGGTAAGGGCGACATAACGCGTCTGGCGTGAAGCCGTATTCAAGAAATCTTGCCGATTGACTTTGCCGTCTGGGGAATTCGCAATCGCCTCCCGTAGAATCCGTTCTACTGTGTCCATGTCTCGAATTACCTGAGTGAGAGGATTAATTGAGCATTGCGTTATTTCAAAATTAACAGACAAGAGAAGAGAAGATCAGATGGCAAATAGTGGTGGCACTAACGTTGTGAAATGCGTTGACTTCGGAGTAGGAAATCTTGCCACCAGTACTGATATTACATAGTGTTGGTAGACTCTCGAGAATACTATCTGAAAGCTTATGCCTTGCCAATTCCAAAATGATTCTCTTGAATTGATCCGCCGTTATGTACTGTGAAATGAGTGAGGTGAAAACAGTTATCACATGATAGTCACCATTTGATAACCTGTTCACAGCACAAAGATAGAAAAAATAAAGCTAAACTTACCCCAGTTTCTTCCTTGTCAAAATAGCTGAATGCCTGCCGGAGCCTCTCACCTTGCAGGCCCTTCATCAATTGAGTAAATTCACTGAAAACGAAGACAGATCTCAGTTTGATAGCATAAATAGGGAAGTTTTCAAGTAACCAATGCACTTGTAGCCTAGCACATGTTGACCGCCTCGTTTCCCTAAAAACAGTTTCACCCAGGGAGACTCGAAAGTGAATGGCAGAGAGTCTGGTCTCAGGTTGTCCGAAAATACCCGTTTAAATTCTTCAAAAGTGACATCTCCATTACGATCCTGATCAAAGTACTTGAACGCGACCCTTTTCGATTTTGGAGACCACGAATTGCCAAGGTCGGACAGCAAAGCAGGGGGGGGATTGAAGCTTGATTAATTTTCGTCTAGCTAATCCACATTTGCGTAGCTACGTGGTTTTACAGAGGAGAATGATCGGCTCACTCGAATTCAGCGTCAGGTTTCTTTAACAAAGTTTGGAACACCACGAAATCGTCCCAGGTAACTTTGCCGCTTTTCTTCAAATCAGCAATCTTGAACAAGATCGAATATTGAGATTTATGGATTTTGTGAAAGGTCTCATTGGAGGGTGCAACTGCGTTGATAAATCCATCCTCGTCCAAAAACCTGTCAAAGGTGGAGATAACAGATCTCAGTAACCAAAAAAAGAAACAGATAATTCGGAGCAACAGATGATCGACGGAATCGTGTTTGTATGATCAAGAACTGACCTCGTGCTTGTATCATCTTGAGTCGCAAATTGTTCAAACTGATTCTTCCAACGATCGAACTCAGTACGTTCAGCGGAAGCAACTAGAATAGCAAAGCAACGTCATTCCAAATATCAGCGGGTATCCATATCTATCTTCAAAGAAAAAAAGCCCTGGCTGGTATCCATTTATCTGTTTATTTAGTTGAGAAGGATGAAGGAAAGAATCCCTTGAGGACGAGAAGAGCTTGGGTTTATATATGCAGAAGCGATATGGATGATGACGTCATGAGCCAGGTGATCAGGCAAGACGGTTGGGCTGACTCACCCTGAGGGTTGGACACTGGTGAAGATCATCGATCATACAGTTCAAGAGTCAGCCTGAGTCAGCCATGAAGCTCATCAAGACAAGTGACACAGCACATGACGACAGACGAGGAAGGAAGGGAGCCTCGAGAATGGTGGCTTACAGGAAGCCTTGAGAGCTGTTGGACCCGGAGTCTGTTGACTGGCCATAGTCTATATCCCGAATCGAAAGAGCTGTGGAGATGACGATCGATGGCCTGGATATGGATAGGCGGCTAAGCTTGGAGGGGCTAGAGGCAACCAGCTATTTCAAACGAACGAGTCCACCTTCAGTCTTTCTCCTATGAACAAACATACATACATCCCCCCCTCTTTACAGAAGCTGAGCCAGTTTCAAGAAAACGAGAGGAAGCGAGCGGTCATACATGCGCGAAGATATTGGGTCGTTTTGTGGGGGTGCCAGTTTACCACTGCTATCAGTCTCTGCTGGAACTCACCTGTGGAAATATGTAAATACGTGTCGGCCAGGTTCAGCTTGATGATGGTTTAATCCTTGGGCGTATATCGGCCGGATGGAGGCTGAGTATAACGTTGAGTGAGTGCTGCAGTGATCGGAAGCAAGGTGCCAAGGACCGGGAAGGCTATGTGGCCGTAGCGCAGGTGGAGTGGGTTTTTTTCAGCTGTTTCTATGGATTTACGATGTGATCATCCTGCTGCTTATGTAAAGCATAAGTCCATAGTCCACACACGCTGCACCTGCGAAGATGGCCCGAGGTGTGGAGCACAAATGCTTGAAGATGCTTCCGAGATGAACTTACCACTCTGACTCGGATGACCATGAGGCCGGGCAGAAACAGTTCTTTACTCCAGAAAGTGATGCCAAGGCACCCATTAACAAGAATTATGTATTTTAAAGAAAACACATTCAAACTTCAGTCAGCGAATCCTCAAAGTCCCAAAAAGGCCAGCTGAGATAGGCGAAGTCAGCGGCCGGATCTAGCCGGATTCCTAACACATAGAACCATCCCGATCAGCCGCTTTGTTCCGGGATGATCGTCATTCACATGGATTTGTAGATAACTTCTTATCAGCAATGATAAGACCAGTTAAAGAACTCGTCTGTTTGGCGAGCAGAGCACGCACCACGTGCACATCATGGGTATGGCCGGAAGAGATGGACAATCGGATAGTGCACAATGCACATCTCACCCAAAAAAACGATATACACTCCGGCCAGCTCCGGCCTGATCACAGCCGCAGTCAAGCGACACCCCGGATGATGAACTAAACATGAGAGTTGGTCCATTTTATCACCCTTTGACAAGAAGATTCAAACCAGCATTTTAACTTTCAAGCCAATTATTTTGGAGGTTTTTTGTGACACAGGTTGTTTACAGTCATGGGGGTGACATTGGCGACTTCAACTTGTGAGCAGAGAGGGAACAGTGGGGCTCAACAGTGCAGCTTATTGCAGATGAAGACAAGAAGAAACAGCAGTGCACTGTCACTTGAGTGCATTAATCTTTGAGAGTGAGTGGACCATCTTGTGGAAAGGATTATGAAAATCAAAATAAATCAATCACTCTTTTGTAATTATCACAAAACTTGTAAAAAAAGAAAAATCAATAAAGATATAAAAATGAGTGGCTGTGGATCTGGGAAGAACACTTGGATTGAAATTCCTCATCAGAAATTAGGATACACAGTTGATTGGGGAAGCTTGAACATTCAATTAAATTTGTAAACAGTTGATCCAATAGTGCTGACTCAGTTAAGCTTTCAGTCAATGTGTTACTGACATGCTAACAAGAACAAACTTAGGGCCTGTACCATGGGATCCAATTTTGAAAAATGAAAATTAATTGAAAACAAATGGAGAGATATTTTGGTGAAATTCTTTACTTTTAGGCCAGGAACTAGCTGTTGGTAGTGGCAAATTTTGATGACATGGATATTTGATGAAGATAAATGCAGAGAAATTTAATTTTCATGTGCTACAGTACAGGCCCTTAACAGGAGTCCCACTGGTGGGAGGCTTGCTGGTATAACTGGCTGGGGGCTATTGGCATCTTTACCGGTTGAGCTCAAAGCCATTGATTTGAACTTGTGGCTATTGCTAAGCTACTATAGAAAAGCCTACTCAGTCACACCAGTGTGGCTTGAGGTTAAGCTCTGTGGTGCAATTTGAAGTAGAGGTGTGTGATTGTTTGCAGGAGGGCACCAAAATGAAGTACACTCACGGGTGTTTGCTTTTAGCTTGCTTTCGAGCTAACCGTTTCTAGATCTAGCAACAGTCAGCTGAAATTGGAGCCACAAACTAGTTTGGCTTGACCTTAGCTCAGCCCGGTGTGGTTGAATTTCCCGGCTAAAGTCCTTAGCTCCCACGGATTTAGCCACCGATATGGATGCTCTAAGTGCCCCCTCAAACATGGAGGGAATTGGATGCTAAAATGATGCTCTCACATGAGCCAGAAACATATTTTTGGTGGTCTCAACCTCATTTCACCCACCACTCATTCATTATGAGTCCAATTCATTTTTGCTTCTAGTAGATGAAAGATCTACATACATAATCTGTTTTTTTTTTTGTAAAAACTGGTTTGATTCTGGCAGAATACTTCCAATCAAGTTCATGATTTTGAACTTTGATTTGCAGATTTGGCAGGGGGGCTTGAGCTCAATCTCAGTATAAGCATACTTTGTGCCTGCAAAACAGGATTTCCTTTTTTTCCAAAAAAGATTGGTATGGAAATACAGGAAATCAGCACGAGGCCAGAGAAAAAGAAAAACAGTGCAATGAAAATTTGAGAAGAATGGCATGAAATCCAGATGTGAAATTATAGAAACAGGCCTCAAAATCCCATCTTTCTCAGGCCAAATTTGCATTTTTGTGCATAAGCCTCTCTGGTAAGACTGGGCTGCCACCCAGACCTGCCTACAGACACATTAAGCTTGAAACAAGAATGACTCTCTGTTCCAATCAAAGATCAATTGGTCTTGGCAAGGGGGATCATGAGTTGTTCAGTGGTGAGCATGGTTAATGGCCATTGGCTGGTGTGGTGAGTGGTTGGACAGGCTTGAAAAAATTCATCAGGGAAAACAGGCACATGATGATTTACAAAAATGTTCTTTTGCCTACTGTAGGAAAAGTCATATAAGCAGGGGTGGCACCAGGGAAAATCGATTATCTCTAGATGGCAGGTTAAATGAGGCCAAGTTCAGCCTGCTACCCATCATCCCCCCCTCCCCCCCCCCCCCGTGTGAGTGCTGGAAGCCTCCCCAAAGAGGACAAAGGGGCCATTGTGGTGCACTTGTATTACAACAGGTTTTGGAACAGAGCTGTGTCCATTTTTGCTTTATGTCACCAATCAACAAGTGGCAATTGTTTTTTCTGTATTGTGTTTTGGAGCAATGTTGAAACAGATACAATAAACTGTGTGTGTCATGGAGAACTCTGCAAGCCTGCATGGCCAAAAAACAAATTTGTTGCATCTCCTTGCAAATAAAAGCACATTGGTAAGATAGTTTTTTTATTAGGGTTCAGATACATGGTGATACATGGCAGATACTGTATCTGTTTCAGTGTTGTTTGGAGGATAGAATGGAGAATGAGAACATAAAAAGGCAATGTTCCATTGTGATAAAAAATTGCTTGGCCTCCTTTGAGATGTGCAATTTTTTCTCAGGTCTTGTTCTCAGGATAGCTGTCAAAGAAGAAGAAGATTTCAGGAATCATATTCATTTAGATTTGATGGCTGTGTGGGATTCTGTGCTCAAATTCACTATTTCTTCAAATAGTACAATTATGGCAGTCCAAATACGGCCTGCTTACTTGTTAGGGCCTAAACTGTATGGTGTGAAAATTCAATTTTTTGTAATTTTTCAAAATTTATCTTCCTCAAACTCTCATATAATCAAAAGTGGCCATCACCAAAAGCCATTCTATAAGCCCAAAAATGATGAATTTCAAAACCACATTTCTCCCCTTGTATTAAATTTTTGTTTAGAAGACAGAAACAATGAAAATTTTTCAAAATTCAATTCTACAGTGCAGGCCCTTAATATAAGCAATCTGTCAGTACCGCTGGACTGAAGTGATTTTAAAATTTTCTCACCAGAAAGGGAAGTAGCACAAAATGATGACAACTAAGGATGCTATTTGGGATGGGCAGGCATTTTGGGTAAAAATTCTCAGATCATCCTGGCACAGGCTGCCCTTTGGGCTTCCCCGGATGGGGTGAATTAGGAACAGGGGGCTGGGGGGCCAGAGAATGGAGACTGGAGTCTTGAAAACTTCAAGAGTCAGAGTCAGAGTCAGGTCTTCCTGACTATCTCCAACTACCTAAGGTTACTCAAATGAATGGTAGTGGAGGCCTAATTATGCACTCAATGCTGTTTATATTAGGACTCTAGTTATATAGCTTAAACTGAAGCCTGCCTCACTATAGCCCACATGCTGCCCACACTCTGCCCATTCAACAAACAGGTTTAGGCTGGTCAGCACTTTGGTTGAAATTGACCTGTCCCCACCCACCTGCTGAGAAGGCACTGGCAGGTCTTCCTGTGGTAAGGCCACCCAATTAGCATCCTTAAGCCTCATTTGGCAGTGGCTTAAATATAGGTATAATATTGACCAATTCATTAGATGAAAAATCAACTGTTCGAGACCATGAATCCAAATTTTCTTACAGGCAAGCTGAATTACCAATCTCTTCATTTTTGTCATAAGGTTTGATTGATTAGGCTGCATTGGTTGCAAGTGTAATATTGCTATCATGAGTCTGAGGATGGCCTAATAATTTGAATCTGATGGCAATATTAAAGAGATCAGAGGTGCATATCACCAGTAAAAAATTGGGATATTTAATTTGGAATTGCTTACTTTTTATCTAATTAATTGGGCATTATAACACCTATATTTATGCCACTGCCAAACAGGGCCTTAGTGACAACCCATGTTGATCTTAGGCAGGATGTTGATCTTAGGCAGGTGTGGTCTGACTGTGGGATAGCTGAGCTTAAACAACAATTTTACTAAATGTTCTACACTGAGCTTAGGCACTTGAATCTGATGTTAGGTCTAAACAGATTAATTTAATGATGTGTAGATGGAATGTCCAGCAATGAGTTTGACAAGGGCTGCCCAGCAGCAAACTGGTAGGCTTGTTTGCTGTGTCACAATCAAGCATCATAAATATTTGGTGATCAGGTGAAATCTTGCAGTGTTGCAGCAAAAATTGCACATGTCACATTTTTTGACATGTCACCACATTTATTGTGCTCAAATATAACACTGACGAATGGAGCATAAGTAGGTGGGTGACCCATGGGCCCATAGGCTGCAGACAATTGAAGTGGGAAAGGGGAAAAATCCAACATCACACAGTCCCATACTGGATGAAACATCAACAAGAAATGCCTGCCACATCAAAGTGGTCACAGTTTCCAGTCATCAAAGCTCAACCTCAAGATAGAATCAGTGCATTTGGGCATATATCAGGAATTTCTAGTCCTATCCTAACCTAACAGGTGGAAAGCATCAGCCCACAGGTTCACAGTAAATCCATCACCATTTAGTGACTATGGAACATTGGACCAAATACCAAAAATTTCATCAAATTGGTATTGGAACCTACCTAAAAACTGGACAGGTTTGGAACTTTGGGCAGCCTGTTGGAAACCTGGCCCCATTACAGCAACCACTGAGGAAACTTGTATATCACTGCTGTACCAAATCTTGCTAACAGTTTATCAACTGCACTCCAGCTCACTAATTCAATTGGTAGTGTTTCTTATTTGAAATAATTCCATTTTATGGTCAAGAGATGACCAATTAATAACAATCTAAGTTCAAAACATCACACTAGCAAAAAAACTTAATAAGTAGTCAGAATAGAACAACATAAAATCATGAGCAGAAAGAGTGTTCAATATAAGAAATACCACACTACCATGGCATGGGGAAAGGGGCCATAGCATATGAATGGAAAAGAAAGATGGAAGTTTTAATTCAGCAAAAAACATCACGTAACAGATCAGTGAATTACAGATTAGCACTGTCATGGCACGATGAGGAGCCTGTGGCAGAGTGGTGCTGTCATGACACTCTAAGGAAGAGAGCTGCCATTTTACTGACTTAACAACAGATGTATCCATCATCATCTAATTTTCTTAAGGATGGACAATACTACTCAAGTAACTAAATAGCTAGAAAGTAAGTACTTGAGCTTCAAGATAAGTTATAAATTATTTTTTAGTTCTCGTCTCGGGTCGGCCATGATGTACAGCCGATGTGTCTTGTGCCATCCATTGACCGGGCTGCACCCTGCTGCACCTGGTCAGCTCCCAGCGGAGCAATTATGATTTTTTTTTTTCCTCTTTTTTGCCAGAGGAACGAAACAACTATTTGCTTCTTCCTCAGTTCCTTCATCCCTTCAATACCTGCCTACAACCAGCTACAACCACGTTAGCAAAGAGGCTCGCTTACTATTACGTACCTTGAGCCGGCCCATGGTAAAATCTTACTGGTATCTTCACCCAACGATTCTGAAACCCAAATCTCAGAACCCGCTTTCGAAAGGCAAAACTGGTGAGGCGATTAGTAATGTATCGTCCCGGTGTTTCCATCGTTTCGGGATTGAACTTATATTCGATAGAGTCCCAGCGTCCTGTTATACGGATCAGTGGACCGTCAAGTCCCGATTTGACACGATGGGTCGGTACATTTTTAGCTGAGATCACTCTCCGTCGGAGGAGCTGACTTGCTAAACACACGGGACACTACCCGTTCTATGTATTCGCCATGAGACACTCGGGGCGCCTTGTAGCGTTGACTCAGCCGTCTGATAAGGTGTAAATTTCTGGGATTGCTGCCTTTCCATCGTTCCGTGAGCTGATAAGACACAAACGGCGAAATAACCCAACATCATTCCGCGCATAGAGTTCCGCTCCTTTCACATTAACATCCACATTGTCGCTCCTACCCCTATACATACTTTAGCGTGGTGACATACCTCTATATCCACCCACATACTTCAGGTCCTGGCCATTCCATAGAAAATGTTCAGCTTTCTCATTCTTGCTAGCAATTTCATGGGCTTGAGAGCCCCTGGCAAGGCCATCTTGTTAGCTCTTTCTCTGAGCGGAACTGTCATGAACGCCCCCGGTCGCACCCCTCCCAAGCTCGAATGGACCGCTCAGAGCTATGGCGTCGATGGCGCGGACGTGGCTCACTCCCACTTTTTTCATAATCACGGAAGGAAATACAAAAGTCTTGCTCTAATGGAGCCAGGCACCGGCGAAGGACACTTTAGATCAGCGATCACAAATTCGATTACGCGGGTGAACATGGGTAATGACCTCCAACATGTCGGCTACGACATTGGTACCATGCATTTGGTGAAAACGCTACCCAACGTCCAAACCTACAAATTTTCGCCGACTTCGGGTGATTTACCAGTCATCTATGACGGGAATACAGTTTTACTCTTGACTTGTTATCTTCACGCGGACAAGGATGAAGGTAAGCCAGCAAAACTGAGGATTCATCCACATTTTGGATCCACAGTATACTAATAGTCTTCTGTTTGGGTTATGTTTTTTTTCTTGATTCAAGCAACGAGCTCCCATACCATAGGCGGTATTCCAGTCGCAGGAGAGCGGATTCCTCCCTCAAATCTTGTTCCTGTCTGGTGGGCTGTAATCCCCAAAGATAGTGGAGTTGAGAGTGCTGAGATAGAAGTCAAGTACACTACAACTGCAGTACCTCAAAAGAAGAAATTCATATCAGGGCAGTCCTCTCAACTTCACGACGCATTCATTTGGAACGAATTTCGACTGCTTAACTTCAAACTCAAAAAGGAAAATTCAATCAGAGTAATTGCTGATTGATTCGAACCAAGCACACAGGCGGTCATACCAGCAGATGCGCAGTATTTGATTGTGAGGCGGTATGTTGGCACGCGTGGATTTGATTATGATCACACCGTCAACCCTTGCCAAAATGTATCATGTTTTCTGTCTCTCTATCAGCCAACGCCATTTCCCCTGACTTATCATTTCACGGTTGATGTGAGGAGCCCTTTTCTTTCCCCAATACAGCTCAATATTTCCAATTCATTGGAAGTGTCAAGATCAATCATAGAAACCCTTATTAGAAGAAAAAAGAATACATTTTTGATCATAGCCAAACTTCCTTTTTTATTGCGATCTTATTCTTTCTTAGAATAGGAGTTTCCTCTTCATTTTCTTATGCATAAGTCAACACACAGATCTGGGCAATGATACCAGTGAGTGATTGGCGGAAGGAGAAAATTTGAATACTTCAATAATAAAATAGGAAATGGGAGCATGAGCCCCAGATGAGTGATTCTTGTAAGGATGATATATAAAGGACTGCCGCCCCAGAAGAACTACTATACAAATAGGCCGGATATAGTGAAGAAGAAATAAGAGAGATTCATCACAAGAAGAAAAAGTAAAAACTTTATCATCCAATTTGTCAGCCGCGGTGATGCCAAGACACTAAGTCTTCTAGCTACACCGGGTGATGGGGTGGTTTGGTAGTGAATAGATATAGAGAAAACCGAGGGGCCCAGGTTATGGGGGTTTTTACGGTGCCCTCGGGGATACGAGCCTAGTCTAATATGTCGACTGGTAGCGGCTACGGCGGGGTCTCGGCAAGGGGCGAGGGTATTCGGTCCGCGTATCGAGAAATAGAGAGGTTGTTTTTAGAGCCAAGGAACTGTACTTACTTGAGTAGGGGTCTCCTCAAGTACGAAGCTGTTCAAAGCTCAGGCGGCGGTGGGATCCAAGGGCGACGAAGTCCTGTTTAGCTCGGAGCTGAGAGTCTACGCGGGATCAGGGATATCGTCCGACTGGTTTGGAGTTCCTAGTTGAAGTTTTTAAGAAGGAGATCGAAATGTTAGTGAGGCGGATTGAGGGTTTGTTTACGAGGTGGTTCTGAAAGGACGAAATGGATACTTGATGCCCCTTGATTACTGACCTGAGCTGGCTTTTATCCTCATCGGGTCCGGTACCGATAGCGTATGGGAAGTCGTTTCCTGTTTTGGTTCTGTCCAATATGTCTCTTCGGTCATGAGGTCATGACTAGCAATGTCGACCTCGACCATTGTTCTGAAGTGAGTGACATCTTGAGAAACAGGGTGTCACAGATCCAGGAATAGCGCTGGAGATGACGCAGGTGTGTTAATGAAGTATACTACTGCTGCGGGCTCTCTGACGCGCACTCCTAATGTTTTTGGCCCTTGATTTATTTATTCTATTACTCAATTATGGACTCTGTAAAGTATAATTAATTATTTTTAGAAAGTTAAAACTAAATTTCTAAAAATCTAGGCAGATTGTCCTGCTTTCTCAGTGACAAGCTGACACAATTTACATGATTTACCTGAGCAGATCATTCCTAAAGAAGTCGTATTTTGTTTAAAATTTGGAAACCTGAGGTTCCTGATGAAAAACAGCCCCTTAAAAGTGAAGCTAGAACCAGAACTTTGAAAAACAAATAAAAAAACACAAG